AGTCTTGTTATAAGTAATCATATGAATTTGGTATTCGTTCGATATTTTGACGAGATGTATGTTGTCTCTCCTCTAGTGGTATTATGTGAACGTCGACTACATGACACTTCACCATGATTTGGGCCTAGGGGAAGGCATTGGGAAGTAATAAGTAGATGATGGGTTGCTAGAGTGACAGAAGCTTAAACCCTAGTTTATGCGTTGCTTCGTAAGGGGCTGATTTGGATCCACATGTTTCATGCTATGATTAGATTTATCTTAATTCTTCTTTTGTAGTTGTGGATGCTTGCGAGAGTGTTTTATCATAAGTGGAGGCTTTTCCAAGTAAGCACAACATCCAAGCACCGGTCCACCCACATATCAAATTATCGAAGTAACGAATGTGAATCATATGAGCATGATGAAAACTAGCTTGACAATAATTCCCATGTGTCATCGAGAGCGCTTTGCTTTATATAAGAGTTCGTCCATGCTTGTCCTTTGCTACAAAAAGTATTGGGCCACCTTTCTGCACCTTAGTTACACTTGTTACTTGTTACCCGTTAGGAATTATCTTATCACAAAACTATTTGTTATCGATAATTTCAGTGCTTGCAGGGAATACCTTGCTGAAGACCGCTTGTCATTTCCTTATGCTCCTCGTTGGGTTCGACACTCTTACTTATTGAAAGGACTATGATAGATCTCCTATACTTGTGGGTCATCAAGACTCTTTTTTGGTGTCGTTGTCGGGGAGTGGAGCGCCTTTGGTAAGTGGAATTTGATAAGGAAACATTTATAATATGTGCTGAAATTACTGTCACTTGTTACTATGGAAAATAATCCGTTGAGGGGTTTGTTCGGGGTATCTTCACCCTGACCGTAAGAGCAAAGAGTTCCCCCTCAACCTACTGAACCTACTAAAAATATTTATTATGAAATTCCTTCATGTATGATAGAGAAACTGCTAGCTAATCTTTATGCATGAGATGGAACGTTTCATCCTGATATGCATCTAATCTATGTGGATGAAGTTTGTGGATTATTTAAGCTTGCAGGTTTTCCCGAGGATGAAGTCAAGAAGAAGGTATTCCCTTTATCTTTAAAGGAGAAGGCATTGGCATGGTATAGGCTATGTGATGATATTGGGACTTGGAATTACAACCGATTGAAATTGGAATTTCATCAGAAGTTTTATCCTATGCATCTAGTTCCTCATGATCGGAATTGTATTTATAATTTTTGTCCTCGTGAAGGAGAAAGTGTCGCTCATGCTTGAGGGAGGCTTAAGTCAATGTTATATTCATGCCCCAATCATGATCTCTCAAGAGAAATTATTTTTCAGAATTTTTATGCTCGACTTTCTCGTAATGAGCAATCCATGCTCGATACTTCTTCTACTGGTTCTTTTATGAAGAAGACTATTGAATTTAAATAGAATTTATTGAAAAGAATTAAATGCAACTCTGGAGATTAGGAACTCGACGAAGGTAATGAGTCAAGTATAAACTTAAGTTTGATTGTGTTAAATCTTTTATGGATACTGATGCTTTTCGTGAATTTGGCACTAAATATGGACTTGACTCTAAGATAGTAGCTTCTTTCTGTGAATCATTTGCTACTCATGTTGATCTTCCCAAGAAGAAGTGGTTTAAATATCATCCTCCCATTTAAGTAAAAGTAGTAGAACCTATTAAAGTTGAAGAAGAAATTATTACTTATAATATAATAGCATTTAGCAATAAAAATATAGATATGTGTGAGATGTATCAGGAAGGTTCGCTGGAGTCCGAACCTTCGCCACATAGGACTCCGACAAACTCAGCCCATCCAAAGCCCCACCACGGGCAATGACGGTGCAGAAATCGGTTAGATCCCTTGGTAGGGGCCCAAGCGCAGCCGGAAGTCGGAGATCGAAAGTCACATGAGAGTTTTACCCAGGTTAGGGCCTTTGATGAGTAATACCCTACATCCTGCTTGTTTTTGTTATTCATGGTGGAACGATACCTTATGCGAGGAGTTTACAATGGTGTATGAGATTGCTATCGGAACTTTCTATCTAAGAGAAGATGGGATTGAGAGCCTCCTAGCCTCCCCTTATATACAAGGTGGAGGCTGGGCTTTTTACAGGTGAGCATATGTGATCTTAGGCCATTGTCACCCTTGGCTTGGAGAACAAGAAAAAAAAGTTCGTTGACGAAAAAGAAAAAACACGTCTTTTTCTTTCTTGAGAGGTACATATTTGCTTCTGCGAGAAAAAAAAGCGGGACAAAAATCATGCTTCCGGCTTGGGTTTTTTCTTTCGGTTTTTACGATTGTTTTCGTGAGAAAAAGTTCATCGAAACCTATTAACATGGGATCTATTTTTGAATATTTCCACACGAGAAATCCAGTGGTGAAAACGGTTTGCTATTTGGACACACGGTTTAATAGATAAAAAAAATTAACTGAACGAATCTATGGACAAAGGAAAAAAATCCTAGGTTGCGACAAGTGACGGATATGCAGTGAGCCACTTGTCACAATCTGATAAGGTAGGACTGACCAGGAGTATCCTTTTAATTAGTGATCTCACGCTGGTCTGCGGCGCTGAGAGGGGTTAGGTCTCGCGGGTCGAATAGGAATGGGCCAGTTGCACTGTTTAGTGTAGGGATTTCTACTTTCTTTTACAGAAAATAGACTAGGCTGAGATTAGAAATTATTTGGAGGGCCAATTCAAATCCAAATGGGTTGAAAATTTAATTGTGGCGTTGATAATATACAATAGGTTCACATAAAATATTCAGACCATTTGGATGAGTTTCAATATTTCCCCGCGACAAAAGGATGAGTTTCAACATTTATTTGGGAAAATAAAGTGGGACATGGCATAGTCACAGTTTGAGCTAGAAGTAGGAGCCATGTACTTCCTTGTCTCAAAACATAAGACGTTTTTTGGTCAAGATTTAGACAAAAAACCGTTTTATATTTTGAGGCAGAGGGAGTGCGAAAATTATAAAATAATTTGGGTAGCTCCAAAATGTCACAAAAAGGATATTGTAAAGTGTGGAGGTGAGTCTTGAGCTAGAACACCAAAAGGGAGAATGGTTCACTTATTCACTATTTGGCAAAATAGCAAAATAAAATAGAACTTAAGATTTATTAAAATTTCTAAATTCCTCCTTAATGAAAGGCAATATGATGCTGATGCAATGCTTGTGAGATGAGCATGATGCAAAAATAACATAACAAGGAGTTTACAATTAGGGTACTATTCACACCTTTGTTTATGGCTAGTTCTTTGATGATATTTCAATCATTTAGATTTCTTTTACGGACTCCTCTGATATCAAATTTGGTCTGCCGATCTTTGAACATTAACAACATGCTTAAACGGTCCAATATGCACCGACGCTGCTGGCGCGGCCTGTGTTGTATATGCTCAAATCCACCCCACACGATGTTGGACAACCTTCTCTATAATCGATGATACCCCAACTTTATCAACGTATATTCGGACCCGATCGTCTCTTGTGTGGACACATATCCATCTCAATATACACATCTCTACTACACCTAACTTTGGATATGCCATCTATTAGTTGACCAACATTCAGCCATACAACATCACAGATTGAATCGCTGTCCTACAGAACTTTTTTAGGTTTTATGGCACTTTCTTGTCGCATAGGACGTTAAAAGCTTGACGCTACTTCATCCATCTAGTTATGATTTGATGTTTCACATCTTCATTGATATCACCTTCCTTCTGCAGCATTGAGCTCAAATATCGAAAGATGTCTTTTGAGGTACCACATGTCCATCAACGGTAATCTCCTCCTCTTCGTGCATAGTCGTACTGAAACCACACCTCATGTACTCAGTTTAGTTATAAAATAAATTTAAAACCTTTCGATTTCAAAGTTGACCTCCACAGCTCTAACTTTTTATTAAATCCCGTCCGACTATCGTCGACTACCACCACATCATCCGCAAAAAGCATACACTACCTTGTATATTTCTTGTGACCTCATCCGAAAAATATAAGGGCTCAAAGGTGACCTTTATTGTAGTCATGTTTTAATTGTCAAAACAAATCATGAGTACAATTCATGCGCCCTGTTGTTGTCAAGATCTAAACAATCTACGTGTTACGTTTCCATTCTTCCCCTAAGAAAACGTCCATTCTAATTGCATACCAGGCAAACATTTGTAAACACCCTACTAGATTTTATCTTCCAATATATGTAAGGGAATGCATCGATTCCGGCCATCCCCCATCCCCAAATTGACCATTTGCTAGTGTGTCATTTCTTGATCAAGTCGGCCGTGAAGGTGACGCCGGCGGACGGCAGCCATGTGAGGCCGTCGATGAACCGCCTTACGGTGAAGTGGCTGGCCCATACCGGGTCCATGATCACGTGGTACCCCGGCCACTTCACCCGTCCGGCGACCCCCGCGCCGGGCCCGAAATTTCTGTACTCGCCGTAGAAGAGGGTGGCGAGGCCGGCGTCCCCTGCCCACTCGAGCCACCCGCGCGCGCGCACGCCGGCGCCCAGGTACGACTCCATGACCACCACCCGCGAGAAAGGCTTCCACGGTCGGCCGAGGTAGGTCGGGTACTTGGCCTCCACGACGCAGTTGTGGATGGAGAACCCCGTGTTCTGGTTCGGGTCCTTGCGGCCCTGCGCCGTGACGCTCCCCGTCTGCCCCGGCGCCAGCGGCAGCGTGGCGAGGGTGCTGCGCTGGATCACGGCGATGCCGTTGCCGAAGACGAAGTCCACGGTGCCGGACACGCGGCAGTCGCGGTAGAACTGCCGGAGCGAGTGCGCGTAGAGCGTGTCCTGGTGCCCCTCGATGGCCACGCGGAAGAAGGCCGAGCGGTCCGAGTCCACGCGCAGGGCCACCGCCTGGTGCGCCGCCGGCCCCGCCGTGTTGCGGATCGTCAGGTCCCGCGCGATGAACCCCGCGCCGGACACGGCTACGCGCACGCAAAGCAGCAGCATCTTTAGCTTTTGTGCACGGTCAGGAAACGTAACTGGTTAACGAGACAGAATTTGCACTTTGTATTTACCAACGCTGGCGCTCCGGAACGTGGTCCAGCCGCTCGAGAAGCTCCGGCTGCCGGTGATCACCGTCTCGCCCATGCCCTCGCCGACGAGCACGATGTTGGTCTTCTTCTTCTTCACGTCCACGTTCTCGTAGTACACCCCTCGCTTCACGTAGATGACGTACTTCCTCCGGCTGTGGTTGGGCGCGCGCGCCACCGCCTCGCCGACAGACCGGTACCTGCCGCTCCCGTCCCGAGCCACCACCACGTCCACGCGCATTGCCTTCTTCCCTCCGGACCGGCCCCGGGCGCGCGCGAGCTCCCCTTCGACGCCGCCGGCGACGTCCATCACCCACGGCGGCAGCTCCGAACCGGCGCCGGACGCCGCCGTGTCGTTCTTGCCGCGCTGGCGCAGCGGCATGATGCTGCGCAGCCGCTTGTGCATGGCGAGCAGGTTGCTCACCAGCTGCGTCAGCTGTGCCACGGACGCCTCGACGCGACGCAGCAGGCGGCCGTCGGTGCCGCGGAAGCCCTCCGTGCACGTGTCCTGGTTGCCCAGTGCGGCGCTGAGCCAGGCGTGCAGGTCGTCCTCGGCACGCGCGCCACTGCTGACGCTCCCAGACGCAGCGCCGTGCTGGTTCTCCATCTCCACCTCCGCGCCGTCGAGGGGCTCGGCCATGGCGTCGAGCGACCACCCGAGCTCGTCAACGGAGTACCCCAGCAGCTCGATGCAGTCGCGGACGGCCATCTCCTCGCGCGCGTGGTTGGACAGGGACGCCAGGCCGGCGACGGCCCCGACGGCCCCGACGGCGCTGACGGCCTCGCCGAGCGTGTCGCGGAGCGCGGCGCGGAGGACGGGCACGGGCCCGCTGCTGGGCCCGCCGCGCGCCGTGTCGATGCGCGAGACGCAGTCACCCTTGCCGCGCCCGGCTCCGGAGGAAGAAGAGGAGACGTTGAAGCACGCCTGGCGCAGCAGCGCTTCCTCGAAGGCCTCGGCCTCGCCCGGCCCCTTGAACGTGTACCCGGAGAACACCGCGGCGCCATCGCCGCCGCGGGGGACGAGCAGAAGCGCCAACAGCAGCAGGAGCGCCTGCAGGCAACGTGTCATCCATGTCGACGCCATTGGCGCGAGGAGTGTATGGGCATGACCATGGGACGAGCGTGCGTGCGTATATATTGTGAAGGCATTGCTGACGAAGGTAAGCAAGTAATCTGCCTTGGCGCAAAGGGAGGCAAGGTATAGTTTGTAGTGGAAGAAAGGTGAGCAAATATGGGAAATACCCAATGGTTCCTGAGTATGTATCCTATATGGGGTTTTATTTTTAGGATACCGATAACTGCCACACGTGTGGGCTGTAAGGTTTAGTGCCGCACGATTCGTTCGGCAACAACACTTGCCAGCCCGCACACCCCCGTGCGGACGCAGCTACCAGCGCCTGAACGATCGGGCAGCGACATATGTGGCCTGCACACCACCGTGCGGCAGCAATTGCCAACGCCCGCACGTTGTCAACTGCCCCAAAAACGCCTGCCCGCAAAACTCCCCTAACCCCTCCTCCAACTCCTTCGTCTACCTCTGCCCCTGCTCGTCTCGTTCACCTCCGCCGATCTGCACCCAAATCGCCATGGCAACAAGGTCGGCTACGCCAAAATCATAGACCAAGAACACGTCAACGAACCCGTTTTCTGTATGTACGTCCCGCAGTCGCCACCCTCACTCTGTCGTCCCTACACTCTCATCCCGCATCTCGTAGGGTTCGAAAATTTGGGATCTGGCGAATTGCCATGCCTAACGCACGAATTGAGATCAAAGGGGTGACTACTGTCTCTAAAAGCCAGAATTGCCACCCGGATTCATCCAGAATTCTTCTAGATCTGCTGGGATGTATGGCAGTTGGGTGTATTGGTAGATATGGGAGAGAGGGGAAAATTAGTTGCCGTTTTGCATCACCTAATCTTCCATGTGGTTCCAACTCAGTAGTTGCCAACTAGTGAAATTCATGTGGATTGCTCTCGGAGAAACACTGGGCATGTATCCGAATGGAAAAAAAATAGTTGCCGCCTTGGACCACAAGATTTGCCATGTGGTTCCAACAGTATTTGCCTCATTAGTCTGGATGAATTTGCCATCAGGCAGCCAATTGCCACCCAAAATCAATTTGATATGTGAAAATCAGATGCTACATTTTTTGCGATGCTCATTGAAGATAGGATATGCAAGGTAGAATGCAAACTAACACAACAGGTGTCTATTCGTTATGCATCTAGGTTTTGGGGACTAACAAAAAGGAAGGATGGAACTAGGCGAAGGTTCAAATCCTTGGTTTTTCAGACAGCCGCAATCGACGCCATGGGATGCGTACAACAACCTCATTTCATCGGGGCCATTGCTATCTCTACTGTAAGAATACAGAGACATGCGGGCTTTCCGTATCAAGCAAAAAGGATAGTTTGCCATGTTTGAAGGCAAAATAATGGCAAACATATGATGTTCGTTCTACACATTTGCATGGAATTATAGTTTGCCATTAGAGGTCCCATGGCAAAACTGCGCCGGGAGTAAATGCGAGTGCCTCACAATCAGGACAACGGCATGGGGACGAAAGAGAATGCAAATCAAGGTAAATTATGAAGAAAAAACATATTATGAAACAGGGAAACTTACTAAAAAATGACATTTGCAGCAACTGCGTGTAACGCATGGCAACAGCTAACAATGGGATACCTGCCATCAACGTATTATGCAGGGTGAGAACAAAAATGGAGAAAGTAAATGGTTAAATGAATGCATTTGCCATCCTAAGGCAACAACAGCTGCCATGAATGGTCAAGGGACAAAAATAACTTGTGTATTCAGAATGAACTGCCATGTGGTGATGGTCTAGTAGTTGCCAAGATATGGCAAATTCAATTGCCATGATGTGGTACCTACATTTGCCATGCTGTGGTACCTACATTTGCCATCATGTTTCACTGCTCTTGCCATCATGTGGCAACTGCAGTTCCATCATTGATCATGTTTCAGTTGCCATCACTAGTTATAAGAACTTGCCATGTTATGATAACTGTAGTTGCCATCATATTTGCAGGGATACTGCCATTATGTGACAACTACAGTCTCCATTACTGATGAAATGTGTAGTTTCCATAACTGCTTACTTGCAGTTCCCATGCAAGCATAACTACATTTGTCATGATGAAAATAATAGCTACAATTGCCATGCAGGAGGTTCAACTTTAGACATAAACAACGAAAAATGCTTGTGCTGCGTACACCTCAGATCACCCAGGAGGGTCGCTACAATATCTGGTCAACCACCCTATGTGGGTTGGAGATGCAATTGGCAAAGCAAAGAAAAACCAACCTCCTTCGCAGGTTTATTGGCACCAGCCACAACGTTCCGTGGGGGTGGGTCCACAAAGTCATCGTCATCGCCGTCCTGACGGATGCGAACCATTATGTTGTAACAGACGGCAAATGCACATTAGTGGGTACTCATAAAACAGGGTACATTTCCCGTGAGCACCAGCAAAAAGTCTGGCAAATTGATAATTTTCATCATCGCAGTGAAAACTGCCATGGTTCAAAAGATGAGAAACAAGGCTTAAGTATGAACATTTGCAAAAATGAACTGCATAGATGTCATATGTTACAAAAACGGAATGGCAACCACAAAGGTGGGGATATGTTATTATTTGCCGACAAACCCCATGGCAACTAATGTACTGTAATCAGATGTTGAGTTACCATCTGTTAGGGAACCAGAATGGCAACAAATTAAACAGACACACTCAAATATCATGTTGTCGTATGATGGCAAACACCATGGCAACTAATTTAACTTGGGACAAAGATTGACTTGCCACCAGTACACACACAGACAAACATGTAGTTGCCATTCTGGTAGGTAAACAGAACTACAAAAATATAGTGATGGCAATGTTCAGATACCAGTTGCCATGTGTCGACGAACACCACATGAACTAGATTAAAATGAAAATGAACTACATAGTTTCCATATGCTACAAAAAACAGAATGGCAACCACAAAAGGTGGGTATCTTTTATTGTTTGACATGTCCTGACAAACGCCATGGCAGCTAATGTACTAAAATCACCTATTGAGTTGCCATCTGTTAGGAAAACAGAATGGCAGCAAAGTAAACAGACACGCTCGAATATCAAGTTGACGTATGCCGACAGACACCATGGCAACTAAGTTAACTTGGAACAAGATTGACTTGCCACCAGTACACACAGAGACAGGGCAACTAGTGTTTATGGGGAACATTAGAGTTGCCATCTAAATGTGTGAAGGGTACAACAACTTCAAGCACAATCAACATATGTAGTTGCCATGTTTGGGTATACGGCATAGGCAACTAATTATGATTAGCACACACAAACACTGTAATCAAAACCTAGTTCAAAATCAAAAGAAACTAGAATCTACATAAAATGGATCTAGGGTTCACGCTGTGTTCTAGACCTTCACTGCATCAAAATAAGACGACCAAAGGACGGGAACACACTGATTCACTGCATCACTGCTCTGGTTTCACAAAACGAGGGGTAGTGCCAACCATTGCTTGGCAACCATAGAAATGGATGAAATCCAGAAGGGGAATGAACTCTGCGATTCAAAGCAGAGCACGCATCCGCAGGGCGACTAAATGAACCAACCAAATGGTCCAGTGCGGTGAACAACGAGCCGCCCCTACGTCCCACCGGCGACTCCTGCAGAATCCCCACCAAATAGAAGCGAAGATCGCCATGGGATCGCCTTCGATTTGAGACGCAAAAACAGATATTGAGGGGGAGTGGAGATGATTTCGAACACATTACCTCCTCTCTTGTGGTCTCCGGCGACTCTTCAACGCCTACTCGAGCGCAGCCGCCTGTACGACGACTCCACGAGCGCCGCCGCCGTCTCGCCGATGAATCGCCGCGAAATCGCCTCTGCGCCGCCGCCGAAGCGCAATGAGAGAGAGAGAGGAAGACAGAGGGGGAGCCGCAGTGAACTGCCGCGATGTGGAGAAAAGAGGGTGCGGGCGTGGCGTTCGTGGGCGTTCGGGCGATGTGGCAACCGCCCGCACGGCAAGGGTGACAACTGTCGCCCAATCCGCCGCAGGTCCACCGTTCGGGCGAGTCGAGAAACTGCCGCACAGCGACCACACATGACGTGGCACGCGACCTCCCTCCTCCTTGCTCCAAGATTCGAGCAAATACATCTGACGGCTCCAGACGCGTTCTGCCCAAGTTGCAAATGCCCACACGTGTGGGCGTTAACATTTCCGTATTTTTAATAGTTAAACAAAAAGTCAAAATAGTTAAGAAACTATTTTTAGAATAAAGTTGACTTACTTGCGCATTAGTATACACATTTTCACAAAAAAGAAAACTATTTTGACTTCATAGCAAAAAAAGACAAAATTTATTTGCTATTATAGGTCACTATTCACACTATTTTGACCTGAAATTTGTCTTTTTTGAAAAGAAGTCAAAGAGGAATTTTATGTTTTTGTCACTTTTCTCACTAGTACAATAGAAGGTCAAGTTTTTATCTAAAACATTTTTAGAAATTTTTGACTTTTTATTGAATTACTAATTTTTTTTTGCATATAGGGTACATATGTACCCAGGAACCAAAAGTTCCCCTCCGAGCAAATATAGCATAGCATGCAGGTCTTTATCAACTCCTCTTTTCCGCTTTGAGGACAAAGTTAGTTTTGAGTCGAATGATTGGTCCGATTGCAACAAGTAAATTATCTTCCAGTGCATTTTTCACTGTTCACTAGTACAGCATAAGTAAGTGACAGGACTGGCACGTGCAGCGGAAGTTTCAGGCGATCGCAGGATCTCGATTACGCTCGGTGTCGCCGGCAGTGTCGGTCGATACTTGGAGCAACGTAGCAGCGCGAGAACGTGTCCCGTCCCGATGGGGACGATTCGGGCTTGCATGCATGCAGATTGTGCCATGCTTCTAGTGCAATTTACACAGCGAAGTGAGCAGTCCGATCATGAGCGCACCGGCAGCGGGCACCTGAGCCTGAGGCACGGACACTCAAAGGTGGTGGATTCGTGCGTTTTGCTTGGCGACGCAGGCTTCTAGATTCGCTCCCG